GCCGCACCCCACGCCCTCCTTGCCTCCCTCCCACGCCCTTACCGCCCCCTCCCGCTCACCCTGCTGTCCGCTCTGCCCTCTCCCCTCCCACTTGACGCCAAGGCCTGCGTTCAAATGCATCAGCTGGCGCGCGTTTGCATGGCAATGTATTTGAGCCAGCCAATGGCCGTGACTTTTCGCACCACACACATACACACACACACGCACATGCGCGCACACACAGCGCGTGCACACACACACACTCACATTGTTGCTATTGCAACCTCCTTTGCCCCACGCCCGGCTCCACAGGGCGCCCTGCGCGCGGACGCCCCTGAGCTGCTGACAGTCATCCTGCCCCAGTCCCGCAGCAGGCAGCCGGCTGAGTCACAAGATCTGCTGTCGCAGGTGGGTGCGCCCATGCGCGCGGGCATTTCTGGTCGTGGCTGCGCAGCGGTGCCTGCGCCTGTGCGGAGCGCAGGCATGCAGGTCTGCATAAGCGTGTGAAGAGCGGGCGATGCTCGCTTCGGCGGCCTGTGAGGGTGTGGCCGCACAGAGGCAAGGAATGTCATCCCTGATTCTGGCAGTGCAGCAGGCAAATGCAATCATGCTGGCCCAACGGCTCGCATCTGCGCACGCCTTGGCCTCTCGACGCCCGCTGCTGCTCGCCGTGAACACAACATCACACCTCCCAACTCTTCCCCACCCACACACACATGCACATGCACACACAAACACACACACACATACACACACACACACACACACACAAATGCACACATGCTCGGCCCAGGTCCAGCGGGTGGTGGAGATGCCCGGCAACGACGCCCTCTCGCTCATGGACGCAAGCAGGCAAGCCCCCGGCAGGCGCCCCACTGAACCCTTCAACTCGATTTCGTAACCCTGAACATTTTGCGGCGCTCAGCGTCGCGAGTGCTGCCCTGGCGCAGCTTGCATTTGCTGCACTCGCGTCGAGGGGCAGAGCGGCCCAATTTGAGGCGCCAAGCGACGGGCCCGCTCGTCCCGCGACCGACCCTCTGCACTTCCGCGCCCGCGCGCCCCTCAAAAAAAATATCCAGGATCTGCAACCGCGAGATCATCGGGAAGGTGCAGCAGGTGATCTGCTTCGCGTTCCACGACAGCAACCTGCTGCTGGAGACCTGCCGGGAAGCTAAGGACTCGAAGAAGATCGTCACCCTGTTCTACCTCGACTGACGCCCGACGCCGCGATCGCGCCGCTGGCGCCTTTCGTGGGTGCGACTGGCTTGCTCCGTCGTCAAACCCGTGGTCTGGCTCGCTATGATCTGACCCGATCTGATCCGGACCGGGCGCCTGCGTGTTGCGCCGCCGTCCTGGGTGTGCGGCGGCGCGCGGGCGCCCTTGTGCGGAGCCCCTTACTCTCCGTTTTGTGCGCGGCCCACTTCTTTCTCCTCATTGCTATATTACCTTTCGCCTATTGTCCGCCATACCTGGCCTGCTCGCTCGCACGCCCAGCCCTTTTCCATTGTCGAACGCCCCCTTTTTGGCACGTGTCGTGCGTCGGCGCGGCGGGCGTGCGAGCGTCTGGCTGTGGCGGATGCGGGGGCACGTGCGTGCGTGCACGCGCGTGCGTGCGTGCGCCTGTTATGCACAGGTGCGTGTGCGCGACACGTGAATGCGTGACCTGGCAGCCTGTGTGGCACGGCTAAAGTGTGTCGTCTCTTATCGAGCGGTGACTCTGAAGTGTACATTAGTGAATTAGAGCTCCTGGCGTAGCCGCCGGTGCGGCGCCGCACCCCGCAGCCTGTAACTCCGATTCTCCCGTGGCTTCAAACTCTTAAATGGCGGCTGGCAGTTTGTGCAGCAACAACACTCTGAGAAACTGCATGTGTGCACTGCGCGGCGCATGTGCACTTGCTCATCGGCTTGGCATGGGCTCGGCGCTCTGCTGGCGGCATGCGGAAGGCGAGAGGACTGTGAGGAATGCGAGGGCCGAAGGAGACAACGAATGCCCCACCATAAACTTGAATTTTCAACCTTATATTGATAGATAGCAGGACTACCACGTGCTCGAAGTTTTGCGTTCGAAACGCCAGCCCACGTGCCTGCTGGATCGAGGCCCGCCTGGAGGACACAAATTTGCAAGTGGCGCACTTGTCATTATGCATCCACTGCACGCGGCCTCGGAAGCCTCCGAACCGCTGCTGCTGCGCGAGGCAATAAGCAGCGGCGCGGGCGCCAGCGCCCAGGCGACGATGTGCGGCGGGGAAACCGCCGGCATGGACGAAATTTCATGTAGGTGGGAGCAGAACCCACGATTCATTGCTGAAATATGCATATTCTGAGAACATGTGATTTGGACAAAGTTCAGGAGACGGTGAAAAAGGTGCCGTGACCAGCGTTGCCAAAAGCAATCCGGCGCCGCTGACCAGACCCGGCTTGCCCTACATGCCGCCTGTAAAGCCCGGCCGACCCCACAACGCGCTGAACGCAACAGACTGGCAGCAGCTCGCGGCTCAAGTGATGTCCAACCCCTCCAGCGACGGCTCGAGCAGCCCCTCCGCCGCCGGCGCCCTGCACAGCGCCAGCGGCCGCGCCTCCGGGGCGGGCGGCGCGAGCAACGGCCCCGGCGGTCCGGCGGGCGCGGCGGCTGGTGGCGGCTGCAGCTCGGGCGCGGCGGCTGCCCCAGGCGCCAGAGGTGCTGCCGGCGCCGGCGGCGGTGGCGGCGGCGGAAGGGGTGCCGAGCTCACACTGGACGAGCTGGTGCTGCTTCGTCAGCGCCACAGGCTGCTGTCCGTCCAGCCGCGGCCCGAGGGGTCCTTGGAGGTGAGCTACTCTTGGGCAGCCAAGGCGGGTGCGGCGGCCTGCATGTCACAGCGCCGGGCCTAAACGCGTGTGCAGCAGGGTCGGAGACCAGTCTCGCCGCCAGAACGCACGCTTGCAGCAGGCTTCCCGGCGCCGCCGAGCGGCGGAGCGCACCGTCGCTTGTGAGTGGGGCGCGACGCGTGCCCCCTCTGACGATGCCTTTACGACCTTATGACGTCACCCAGGCCGATTTCGAGCTCATGGAGCCGCTGGGGTCCGGCGGCCAGGGCAGCGTGCGGCGCGCGGTGCGGCGCGCGGACGGGCGCCAATTTGTGGTCAAGACGGTGGATGTGGCGAAGCTCAGCCCGTTTGATAAGGCCCTGCAGAGGAATGAGGCCAAGGTGTGTGTGTGTGTGTGTGTGAGTGTGTGTGTGTGTGTGCGCGCGCGCGCGGTTGGGTGTATGCGTGTGTGTTGGGCGGTACTCGAGAGTCTGTGCATGTGTTTTTGTGCGTGTGGCGTACAGCCGCTTGCATGGGCAGGGTGGCGGCAGGGTTTGCTGCGCTGGGTCACAGCCGTTGAGGGCAGCCACGCTCACAATCCAAGGCAAACGGGTGTGAGCTCGCGTAAAGGAAGGTTTGGACTTTGCACGCATACTCACAACACATTGGTCCACAGCCACCTCTCAAGACCTCTGCGACCGACCCATTCCATGCCTCGTCCCGCGCCTTCTCGCCGCCTTCCACGGAAGGCGCTGGCCGGCCTCTGCCACCCCAACGTCATCAGGTGTGCAGCACTGCCGACTGTCAGCCAGGGTGCATTTCGCTCTTTCACGCGTTCACAGCTGGCCAATCACCGCCTCGAACTGTCCAGCAGCATGTGCAGCTGGTGCTTGGCGCCAATTTTAAGGCTGCGTGGTCGCATCCCGCCTACACACTGCCTCAAACCATCCAGTATGTGCACCTGACACGTGTTACGGATCCTAATTAAGGCCACCTTGTGTTAAAAGCAAACGACCAGGTTTGAAGGCTGGTACCAAGAGGGCGGCCTGACGCACCTCGTCACTGAGTTCGCTAAGGGCGGGGACCTGCTGGGGGCCATCAAGGACGCGAAGAGGAGGGGGGAGCCGCTGGGGGAGGACAGGGTCATGACCTGGTTTGTGCAGGTGAGATTGAGCGGGTGTGTAAGCGCGAGGGTGAGCACGAGCGCACGCATGTGTGTGTGTGTGTGTGTGTGTGTGTGTGTGTGTGCGCGCGCGCGCGCGCGTGTGCATGCGTGTGAGTGTCTTGATGCGCTCGCCCAATAGCGCTCGCATTTGTTGGTGCGCATGCACATGCTGGCATATGCGTGCAGCCGCGTAGATCTTATTGTACGCATCCTTGATGAGGGGTGCACACGTCGGCCTGTGGGCGGGCACGCCTGCTTGACACACAAACTTTGGGTGGGGTGCAGCAACGCAACAGCTAGCGCTGCGAGCTGCGGCAGGATGCCCAAGAGCCGGCGGCAGCAAAGCACACAGCGGCACGCAGATGGGGGAGGCCCGCCCCTCAAGCGCCATGCCAAGAAATCCCTCAAGCAGCATGCCGAGGGGTCCCTGCACCAGCAGGCGAGCAGCAGCTGCGGTGCCACCAGCCCATCATCCCCGCGCCCTCCTTCTATATTGCAGATCTGCCTGGCACTAGATCACATCCACTCGAGGGGCGTGCTGCATCGGGACATCAAATGCGGCAACATCCTGCTGGCAGGCGGCGTGGCCAAGGTGGCCGATTTCGGGGTCTGCAAGATCCTGAACCTCGGCGGGCCGCCCAAAGACGCGTACCCGGCCGCGCCTGCGGATTCAAGCGTTGGCAGGCAGGGGGCGGCAGAAGGCAGGGGGCCGCCCGCGGCCCCGGCCCGCGCACCTGGTCCGATGGGGGCGGAGGCGCCGCGCGGGGGCGGCGGCGACGGCGACGGCGGCGGCGGCGGAGGGACGGGAGGCGGGGGCAAACCGGCGCCGGCGCTCGGCGGCGGCGGCGCAGGGGCGGGCTTGCCGGCTGGCGGCGGGGCCGCGCTGACGAGCTCGTTCGTGGTGAGTCTGGCTCGCTGCTTAGTTGCCTTGATGCGTGGCCCCAACACGCGCGCCAGCAAGGCTCGCGTGGCGCCGGCCGGTCGGCAGCGGCCCTGGCGGCGCTGCCTGTCCCGCCCGGGTGCTCCTCCTGGCACAGCCGCCCCAACCCTGCTCATTGCTCTCCGATGCAAGCCGCCGCATGCGTCGCCCTTGCGTATGGCACACTCGCAACGTCGAGCCTTCTGATACACGTTCCTCTCAGCAGCCCCTCTCAACGCTGGCCCCGCTGCCCACTGTGCCCCCAACACCTTGCGCCACCCACAATCGCGGCAAAACAACTCACAGGGCACCCCGCAGTTCGTTTCACCCGAGCTCGTGGAAAGCAAGCCCTATGGCGTAAAGGCGGACATCTGGGGCGCGGGCTGTGTGCTGTACGAGCTCTGTGCCGGCCGCCCGCCGTTCGTGGTGCGCCGCACGCTCCTGCCCGCGCCCTGCTGGCTCGCTCCAGGCGCCGCGCCCTCCGCCCACGCCGCGAGTGCCGGCTTGTATTGCATCTGCAGCAAGCGCGGGCCCTCGAATTGCAAGTCGCAGCCTCGCACATTCAAATCTGCCTCTCAAACCGGACTGACTCCGCCTAAAAATGAAATCCCCGCGCAGGGCGCCAGCGCGCCCGGCGTCTTCAGCCGCATCCTCCGCGCCCGCGCGCCGCCGCTGCCGGCGTGGTGCGGCGCTGACCTGGCGCGCGTGGTGGATTGGCTGCTGGAGAAGGCGCCGGTGAAGCGGCCGACGCTGGCGCAGATATTCTCGGACCCTTACGTCAGGTGCGGTGGCAAGAAATATCTCGGCTGACCAGGTCGCACGGAGGCCACCGGGGCTAGAATCGGCGTGTGTTGGATCGGCGTCACCTATTGCATGTGGTCGCTGGCATCATCTGCGATGCGCTTGGGCTGCAGGTAAGGACCCAACCCTGCTAATGCTCCTGGCTCCCCGCGTCCCAGGAGATACCTGGACGCCTACTCGCGGCAGCTGCAGGAGCACCTCCCCGCCCCCACACCGGCGCCCCGGGCCGCGCCGGCGCCGCCTGCTGGCGAGGCATTCCCCTCCTCTGACTCAACCGGCGCCGGCGGCGGGGACGCCCCAGCCGGCGGCGCCGCCGCGCCCGACGCGGCGGCGATCCCCGCGTTCTCGCGTTCGAGGATTAGGTCGGCCTTGCTACCTTGGGGCCTCTGGGCAGGCACCAGCGGCAGCGGCGCCGCGGGCGGCACGGCAACGGGCGCGGCGGCGGGCGCGGCCGGCGGCGGCGGCGGCGGCGGCGGCGGCGGGGGCGCGTCGACGGGAGCCTCCGCAAATCAATGAGGACGAGCCGGCGCAGGGCTGCGGGGGAGGACGGGTTGCTGCTGCTGAGGGCGCTGGACGAGCCTGGCGGGGCTCAAGAACCATGGTGGGCGCCGACGAGCGGCGGCTGGCGTGTCAGGGGGGAGCCTGGGGGCGATGCCGGGCAGGAGGCGCCGCCGCGGCAAGGCACGGACCTACCTTGGGGCGAGGCCGCAACGGCCGGCGACGCAGGCGCGGCAGCGCGCATGCTTCAGAGTATCAAAGAGGGCAGCAGCGAGGGCGCCGCCGCGCCGCGGCCCGGCGGGCGCGGCGGG